TAAAAATACTCTTTAAAAATAAGAAAGAAAAACAAAAAATATATAAAAAATACTGTTTGTTATAGGGTTAGCTATCTGAGAGGGTAAAGGAGAAAGCTACTGAGAGAAATAATGGTAATAAAAAAATTAAAACTACTTAAAAGAAAATGGAAGTAAAATCAAATAAATAAAAAAAGAGTGACATTATTTTTAAAGATTCATTAATTTATTTTAGTTTTCAACATTCACATCCACAAGATTTTGAGTTCCAAATTTTCTCCCCATCTCATCCCCCAAGATAGCATGCATTCTGAATACCCTTTCCCCTAATGTGCCCTCCCTTCTATCTCACCCCCTTCTCTTATCTCCTTCCTCTTCTACTTTCCTGTAGGGCAGGATAGATTTCTATACTTCACTGCCAGTATATCTTATTTCCCAGTTGCATGTGAAAACAATTTTTTAACATTTGTTTTTAAAACTTTGGGTTCCAAATTTTCTCCCTTCCTCCTTCCCCACCCATCCTCATTGAGAAGGCAAGCAACTCGATACAGGTTACACTTGTGCAGTCATGCAAAACACTTCCATAGTAGTCATGCTGTGGAAAAATAACTATTCATCTTATCCCACCCCCCCTGTTAATTCTATTCTCTCTTTTGACCCTGTCCCTCCTCAGAAGTGTTTGCTTCTGATTACCCCCTCCCCCAATTTGCCCTCCCCTCTATCATCCCCCACCCCCGATCTCTTCCTTCCCCCCCTATTTTCATGTAGGGTGAGATAGCTTTCCATACCCAATTGAGTGTGTATGTTATTCTCTCCTTAAGCCAAATCCGATGAGAATAAGATTCAAGAGTGACATAATACTGCAGGAATGATGTCAGATAAGCTAAAGCTCAAAGCAAGTTTAGTCTTTCAGTGATTGCAAAGAACAACAAAATGAGAATTTCTAGTTTTTTTCAGGAGAAAATTGTTGAATGAATAAAAACAAAGACTGAAGAAGCAATAGAAGAGAGTAGATGAGATGACAACGAATGATAGAAGGGAAAATTGCTTAACTATCATTTGCTTTCTTTCTTTCCCTCCCATGGGCAATGTTATTTCTCCCATACTCCCATGTCACCTGAGGATCACATGTACATTTTTTTAGTATTCTAAGATGGAAATGGTATCACCAGGCCTGATGACTTGAACTGGCTGAAAGTAGTTATATGCTTTCTTATCATATCCCCAATTATCATGGGTTTCTGTTCCTTGCTAAGCATTTTTATTTTATATTTTCCATTGAAGAAACTGGGATAATATTGCCTGAAAGAAAAGATAGGAGAGGGGGAACATGATAAAGTGATAAGATTTATCTTTCATAACTCCAGGGAGCAGAACTAGACAAAATGAGTAATACTTATAGAAAAAACATTTTTACTCAAAAGAAGGAAAAACTTCCAAACACATATCCAAAAGTGGAATGAGCTCTCTCAGGAAGTGGTGAGTGCCCCTAATCACTAGAAGTCTTCAACAAGAGACTGAATAGGAGGCAGAGTCAAGATGGCAGAGTGAGAAGATGCAGTACACCCTAGTTCCAACAAAAATTCCTCAAAGACTTAACACAAGAATTTGGTGTTTTTTTTTAAAGCTAAAAAATGATTTTAAAAACAAAATGAGAGTGATAGAGAAAAAAATAGAAACAGAAGCAAGAATTAGAAAAGAAAAATATGAAAAGAGAATTAATAGCTTGGAAAAAGAGGTACAAAACTTGACTGAACAAGAAAAGGCTGGATAACTCCTCAGGGATGGTAGAGAGGAGAATCCTGATTCTGGGAGGAGCTGAATCAGGTGACCTATGATATTTCTTCTAACTCAATGACTCAAGGAGTAAAGGCCCAACACAGTCACCACTCTGGTGCAGACTCCCATCACTCAATGCTCTGACTAGTATTTAAAACTCTTCACAACATGCCCCACTCCTATCTTTCTGGTCTTCATACTGCTCCCCTCTACATATTCGCTATGATCAAGCCATATTGGCCTACTTGCTGTTCCTAACACACAATGCCCCATCTATGCCTTTGCCCTGGCAGTTCCCCACTCCTGGAATGCTCTCTCTTCCAACCTCTGACTCTTAGAATTAAGAATTAAGGCTTTCATTAAGGCTCAGCTCACAGGCCACTTTCTCCAGGAGCCCTCTCTTGCCCTCCTCCCTGTCTTGCTGCTGCTAATGCCAATCCCTCTAAAGTTACCTTCTATCTACTCTGTATTTATTTTATGTTTTGGTTTATGTGTATTATCTCTCCTATTAGAATGTAAGCTCTTTGAAAGTAGAAACTGTTTTTGCTTTTCCTTTATATCCTCAGTCCTTAGTACAGAGCCTGGCAGATACATATATAGTAAGCACATAATAAGTGCTCACTAATTGATTCCATTTACTTATTCTACCTTACTCTACTCTAACTCCGTTATCATCCTCTGACTTCTTATATCCTGCTTCCCCACGCACCCTGCATCTGGCCTTTCCACTGACTCTTCCCCCTTCGGGGAGGGTATCCTATTTGATTAGCAGCAAATGCTTATCACAATAATTTTTCACTGACATCGAATACACTACCCATTACTGACCTGAACTCAATTCAATCACCTCACTTCCTATATTTAACCATTTTATACATTCCCCAAGTGTGCCTTAAGAGCCGAGCTCCACCCAGAGGAGACAGTGAATCTTATGTTCTATCCTATAATCTCTTCTCTATCATGACAAGGTAACTCTTCCTGGGAGCACAGAAGTGGCTTTGATAGAAGCCACTTTCTGCCTCAAAGAGGAAAGCCATTATGAAAAGGGCCCAAAATAGTGCAAGCCTGAAAAGCTGAATCCCAGCCACTATAATTATAAGTATTTTTATCTATCTCCCAAAAAAGAGAACTAGATCATTTTCCAAGTGTCTCTCTGAGGGCATTCATCTATTCTTTCTCAAGAAATTCAGATTCCTAGTCCAGACACACCACCAAAAATAAGGTCTTTAACAGCATTGGTTTCCCTACACACACCAGCATTCACTATGGGGCACTATCCCACAACACAAACCAAAACCATGTTTCTTATCCAAGTCAAGAAGGAATCTCAAGCAAGAAGGGGAAAACGCCAGAAGCCAGACAATTCCTAATATACGTCTGTAGCCTAAGAACTATGGCCTGATCTGCTATGTTCACTATTTGATTACCAGTTACAGTCCCAAAGCAGTTTTTTTTCTATATATAAGTATCTACAAAAATGCTGCACATTCAAATATATTTTGCCTAACTACTGATGTACACACAAGCAAAAAGAGAAATGAAAACACAGCTATGGAGAGATAATAGCTAGCTCCTTTCACTTATACTGGAGAGTTATATTATGCATCATATAAAACCATATCTAAGGGCTAGAACACCTCAGTGTAATTGCAAAATTGTATTATTTTTCCCATTTATTGGCTCACCTATGCAAATATTTCAAAGCCATGGTGTTGGCCTCATTGCTTTTTTAATAACAATTGCAGTAAATATACAAAAAAAAATAATCCCTTAGTGGAATGGCCTAAATCTAATGTATCTTGCATAAATAGGGTGCCAAGGTGAAGAATGAATGCTGTTGTTCTGGTGGGAGGAGGAGGGACAACCATGCAGAGACAGAACTAACTACCTACTGAAAAATTTTCACCACATAGTTCTGCAAATTAAATATTAATTTAAGCTAACATGGCCCTCTTTTAAAATGCATAATAGTGATGAAAATAAAATAATTATTTATGAAAGGCCTTAGGGTTACCAAGCACTATAAATACATCATATCTCATACAAGCCTCATAGCATCATTATTCCCATATAATAGATGAGCGTAATGAGGTTCCAAGGAATCAAGGGCCTTGCTCAAGGTTAAAATGATAATAAGTGGTGGAGTTGGGACAGAGTCGAAATTTCCTGCCTCCAATTTCAGTGTTCTCAGTACCATACAATGTCTGCCTACCAAACACTCCCTAGAAGGGTTACAATCATTGCCACCTTCGTGTCAAGAGCTGCCACCTGACAGTCAGTCAATACTTTGATGGATTCAGCTGATCGAGTGGCAAGAAAGACAAAGGTACAGGAGGTTTGCCTCCCTGCAAACCCCTGAACACACACATGAAAACAATGGAAGTACAGGATTTCGTGTCTTCTGGCACGACTGATGAGTGGATAGCCTTGACAGGAGAGCTGGTCCACCTTTTGTCTCCTGTTCCATGATTACCAGACACTCAATTCCTTGCTGCCCCCAACACTGCTTCTAATTACTGCTGCTATTACTTCTAGTCTCTGTCACTTTTTTTTCTCTTTGTTCCATCTTTACTTCTCTCTTCACTCCACCTTTACTTCTCTCTTCTGGCTTTTCTCCCATATTTCTTGGTTTCTGTGCAAAAAAGGTGACCTTTTAATAATGCTAACCAACCAAAGCACTCTTCCTTCTGATCAGCGAAGTGACTACTCAAAGTGTATTATTAGGCATAATCTTCAAGACTTTGGATCTTTTCCCACAGTAGTTTTCTTACTGCTTGTCAGCAAAGCAGCAACTCATAGCCCCAGGTTGTGGTTTTGCTTTTTTTTTCCCCCAATGGGGGAAAAGAGGATGTGGTATACCTCTGAGTTCATGGCTGAGACTTTCAAAGACTGCACTTAAATTCATAAAAGTTTGAGTGTATTTAAATTCAGATATTTTGAGTAGAGATTCTTCATATATCCTATTTCTCCCACCCAGATTGGGATTGATCATCTACAAGTCATTTAAATGTTTAGGGTTATTTTAATAGTCACATCATTTAAAATAAAATGTTTCCAATTCCTTTGCCTAATACATACAGAACTTAATCAATACTTGGCATGCGTTTAAACAGCTTGTTGTTTCAATCAACCCATTACTAAAACTACATAAGACAGCAATAAAAAGTACATTAAAATAACAATAAAAAGTATAGACATAAGTACATCTGAGCTAGAGATTCTCAGACCTCCAGCATTCTTACCTCTATGAGCTTTCTTTCATAGGAGCTTGCAAGTTCCTCACTGACTTCTACAGGCTTTTGCTCCGGGACGGTAACTTCTCCATCAGTGTTCCAAAGGTTTGGCACAACTTTAGAAAAAGAAAGATACTACATGAATATTTTAACAGTACTAGGAAATTATACTCTCAGTAAAACATTTTATCTCTTTCCAAACTGCTTCTTCAGAGAAAGTGCTCTTTTTAAAAATCACAATTGCTAATTACTATAACAGCAAATTTTTCACACAAGTACAATAATATGAATGACAAGCTGTAAAAAATATTGTAAGTGTTGTCATGAGGACAAATGCAAGAACCCTGGGGATAATCTTTACACCACTCGCTTTTCCCAGTGAAAAATATCTATCACCTTGACAAAATATATGTAAATTCACTTTTATCCTTTAATCTCACGAATGTTCTCATTCCTTAATCAAAAAAGTTACCCAATGATGTAATTACTACATACATAAATCATGTGGCCTAATAAGGAAAAAAAGAGAGGAGGTATGCAGAACAGAAAGGTGAAGGAAGATGGATTTTATACAGATATACTTAGAAATGGCTTTAAACTATAAACATCTCGAAATTAAAAATGCTAGAATTACAATGTTCAAAACAAGTACCAAAAATACAATGAAAATCAAATTTTTAATCACATTTCCCAAGCTGTAGTTAGAAAATAGCTTCCACTTTAAAAGAAACTATCAGTAATAAAGTATGTGCAAACAGTGTGCCTTATATATAATTCCAAAACAAATTTAATACGCTTCATCTCATCTTATCTTCACAGCTGCCCTGCTGTCCACATTTTGCAGAGGCCCCAAACCAAGTGAATTGTCTTCTGATTCACAGTAGGTCTTCTGATTTCAAGTCAGAGGACTTAGATCTAGAAGGAACCTTAAAGATCACCTGGTTCAAATTCTTTTTTTAAGGGGAAAAAGAGGCCCAGAGAGGTTGAGCCATCACCAGACTTCTAACTGGGGCCAGCTATCTGCAATTCCTCTGGTTTCCCACCTCCCACTCATTTCTTAAGCCTTATCAAACTGGTTTTGATTAATACTATATTCTCCCTAAGGTGGTCAAAGATCTCAGTCCAATGACCTTTAGTCTTCAGTCTTCATTCTAACTGACCACCCTGCAGTTTTTACACTGCTGAATACCCTCCTCCTTCTGGCTATGTCTTCCCTCCCTTGGCTTGTCTGACACTGCTCTCTCTTTTGCCCCTTTCTGACTTGTTTGAAATTTCCATCTCAGTATCACTTATTAATTATTATGCTGTAAGAACTGTGGTCATTTACCAAGTCTCTGCCCTCAGTCATTATCTTTTTCTCTATCTATCCTTTTTCCCTTAGTAATCTTACCACTTTCATGGATTTAATTATTTAATTATTATCTCTATGCAAATGACTCCCACATTACCAAAACTCTCTCCTCTAGTTTTGCACTGGGGGATGTCTTCACCAGAACATTAGATATTAATCTCAATAATCAACATATCTGAAATCACATTTTCTCAAAAATTTATCGTTCTTCAAAACAGACCTATTTCCATGGAGGTTACTACCATTCCTCCAGTTGCCTCAGAACTCAACTCAGAGTCATCCCTGACTCTTCTTCTCTCTTACTTGCCCATATCTAAGCAACTGCCAAATTGCATCAATTCTACTTCTACACTTCTCACAAGGGTACCCATCTCCTATATTCACATGGCCTCTCTTATTTCAGCTGCTTGTCACCTCTTGAATATACTATTATGGAGCCTCCTAATTGATCTCCCTGTTTCTAGTCTCTCCCTAATGCAACCACCACAAATCAATGATCCAACAAGTATTTATTAAGAACCTACTAAGGGCCAGGCTTTGAGCTAGGCCCTGGGGATACAAAGACAAAAGGAAAACAGTTTCCACCTTCAACAATCATTCTATCAGGGGAGACAATATGCACTTGGAGTGCATTCACACTTAAGGGGTGGGATAAGGATGATGATCCAGCCAAGGAGACTGAGGAGCAGTCAGTAGACAGAATGAAAACCAAGAGAGAGCAGTGCCACAAAAACCCAGAAAGGAAAGTGTATCCAAGAGGGAAAGGTGGTCAGTAGTGTCAAATGCCACAGAGAGTTTGAGAAAGCACAGGGATTGAGAAAAAGTCAATAGTTTTGGTTATTAAGAGATCACTGATAACTTTGGAAAGAGAAGTTGCAATTGAGGAATAAGGTAGTAAGCCAGATCAAAGTTTTAGAAGAGAGTAAGAGAACAAATAGAGGCAATAAACCTTTTTCAAGTGAGTTTGGTTGAGAACAAGAGCAGAAATATATGACAATAGTTAATGTGGATGGCAGGATCTAACAAGGGTGTTTCCCTGCCCCCCCAGAATGACATAAATTTAGAGTTTGTAGGCAGCAGAGAAGAAACCAATAGAAACAGAAAGACTGAAGACTGAGGGAAACGATAATGGGAGTGCGCCATTGGAGAGGACAGAAAGGGTTAGTATTAAGGATATGTGTAAAGGAGTTAGCCTTGGCAAGTAGAATATCTAGCTCTTCATCAGAGATTAGAGGAAAAGGTAAAGTGGAGGATGATGTCAGGGTGTTCTGAGATAAAGTGGAGGGGAATAGAGGGAGTTCAATGGCCTTTTTTTTTTCTTGGTAAAGTAGAAGGTCCACAGCTGTTGGGGGTGGGGTTTAAAAGTAGGGTAAGTTATGCATAGGAGTGAGGAGAAGCTGCCAAATAGATATTCCTAAACACAATTTGTACCACATCATTTTCCTAATCAAAATCTTCAGTGAATTGGGGCAAAAAATAAAATATTACTTAAAAAAATCTTCAGTGGTTCCCTTCAGTCTGGCATCAAAACCCTTCCACAATAAGGATTCCACCTACTTTAGTTCATATTCCACTTCACACACAGCAAAACAAAGCTATTCCTTACACATGGTACACAGGTAAGTGATCCTCTGGAACGCATTCTCTCCTCACCTCTACCTTCCTTTAAAGCATAACTCAGAAACCACTTCCTACACAAGAACTCTCCTGATCTCTTTCTCTCTCAAGTTAGTTAGTTATCACTTTAAAGCACTTTATATTACATGGTGTAGTAGATAAAGCTCTGGGCCTGAAGTAAGAAAGTCATGAGTTCAAATGCAACCACAGGCACTTACTAGCTGTGTGACTTTGGCCATATCACTTAACCTCTGTCTGGCTCAATTTTCTGAATTGTAAATGAGGATCATAATAGCACCTACCTCACAAGGCTGTGGTGAGGATCAAATGAGATACCTTGAAAAGCATTTAGCATAGTGCCTGGAATACAGTAGGCACTTAATAAATGTTTCCCTCCCTCCAAGAGACTGCAAGCACCTTGAGAACAAGAACTATTTCATTTTTTGTCTTTGAATATTGTGCCATGCAAATAGTAGCTGCTTAATACATGTTTACTGAATCATATTGAAATAAAAGAACTGGGATTCCAATCCAGCTCTTTTTTCCAAATCTAAGGCTCTTTCTACTATGTCATGCTATAGAGGTTTAGTCTCTTGTCCAATGTATCTGTATGAGTTACCACTATTAGGAGCTTAGGGCATTTGTTTAATAAATTAGAAAATGTCCACTCCTACTCCCCACTTCATCCCCTCCCCATTACTACTATATGGTTAAAATAACATGCATGAGAAACTATGTTTTCTAGAAACCTGAGTTTATGCCCCTGTAGATATATAACTACTGGCTTGTTTTTTTCTTTATTAAGAAGCTTCTGTTTTATCTCTGAAGTTAACAAAAATGTTACTATTTAAGTTTAAAGTGAACAATAAAAACTCTCAGAAACCTCAAGTCTATCAGAGTCCAACAAATAAGAAAGAAGTACAGTCAGCATTCTGTGTTTTCTCTACCTATGTCAATCAACATGTACTGAGTAAAGTGCAGTGTCACAGAAGTAGAATATAAACAATAAACACAAATAACATACGACTGATCAAACAGAAAAGTGGAAAAAATTGCAGCTTTTCGGAGGGTGAGGCATTAGTTCTGAAATCAAACGACTGACAATTTAATACCCAACAAGAAAATCATACTTCTCTATTATTGTCAATAAATACAATCTCTGAATTTAAGAAAAATGATGTTTCAAAATATTTGCTAACAAAACTCAATCTTATATCTAAAATTTAACCATTAACAATTTCGGTCTATTTTCAGAATTGCTTTGACATCACAAATTAAAAGCTAGCCTTTGTCCAAAATAACAGGAAAAAGTAAAGTTGTCAATATTTGACAATGACATTGCAAAGAAAAGAATTTTTAGACTTATTGAGTGAGAAAGGACCTTGGAAACTGTCTAGTCCAAAACTTCTCAACGTACAGCTAAAAAAACTGAGGTGCAGAGAGGTGAAGTGATTTGTTCCAAGGTCCGATTGAAAGATTGTGCTTCCTATATTCAAGGTAATCTGGGTTTCCCAAGCCCACCATTTTTATCTAGACATTATGCTACTACTATATGTGGCTAAATATATCTCTTGAAGAAGTTATTCCCTAGTATTCTGAGAAAGTTAATATCTGAAGATGATAAAAACAGTTTGCTTTCATATAGTGCCTTTAAAGTTTACAAAGCACTTCAGAATGTAATCCTCCAGGTAGTAGGGATTATTATTTAGATTTCACAGGTAAGGAAAGAGAGGTATAAAGAGCTAAAGTGAGCAGCAGAGTCAAGACTAGGGCCAGGTTTTCCTAACTTCGAATGTACTGCTCTTTCCAATTCAACTTATCTTGAAGGCAATAAAAAATGGGGGAGGTGATCTAAATCTACAACACAAATTCTGAAAAATGTTTTCAGATATTTGTAAAAGGGACTCTTCTCATGTATAAGACAGCAAAATAACTTGATAGTTAATGTCAGCAGGTATTAGCCCCATCAAATTCCTATTCTAAAGCCTAATTACAGGATAAAAGAGAGGTTCTGGCCATAAGATCAAAGGTTCAACAACAGATTTAGAGGTGAAGGAGACTTAAAGGCCATCCAGTCCAAACCCCCTCCCTCATTTTACAGATGAGGAAATCAAGATGACTTGTCCAAGTTCACGTAAGTACTAAGTC